TTGATTTACCTTGTATGAATAATAAAATTTTTGATTTGTACTTAACTTGTTAAAAACGAGTACTTGATACTTCGAATACTTGATCCAAAATGAATGATTTGCTAGTTACTTACTTGCTCTGTTACTTACTATTTACGAGTACTTGTAAACTATTTACGAGTTTTTCCGAAATATTTAAGAAATACTTATTAAATAATTCTCTATTAGAAATAGACATGAAAGTTTATTTTTTTTATTCTACTTAAAACAAAATGTACATTAATTTAAACGAAATATTTGTTCATATTATAAAGAAGACAACTAAAAAATATGCATATTACAATATATATAAACAGTATATATTTTTCACTAACAAACAAATATCTTCTCTAAATAAGTAACATATAATAACAAATCATATAACTAAAACTTTAATACATGTTGCTATGTAATATTTGACTGGATGATGACGAATATTTAAAAATTAAGATGGATATGAAATAAGTAACAAGTATAAAAAGAGTAATGAGTATTTGTGTCTAATCCTAAATGTAAGCAAAAGAAAAGACAGATATGAATAAGTATAATAGAGAAATTATAATTAATAGATCGTGTAATAAATAGCAAGTGTAATAGAAAATAACGGGGCCTAACGAGTTAAGTACCAAAAAATAATAGTGATACTTGACTTAGTTTTGCAAGTAATGAAAATTGTCGTCTTCTTACTTACCTTGACAACAGTGAGTATTTAAATTTTCAAAGTGGGTACAAGTCGAATAGCGAGTTTAAGGCGATGCCCATGCCTAGGTTGAGTGGGTGCTTTTAAAAGAAGAAAATAAACATAATTAAATATTATATTCACTAGGTAAGGAATATGTGCGATATCGCTCATAAATTCATTTTATATAATTTTATATTTCATAAAATATATATTTTTGAAAATGGTTTACAATTTTTTTTAAAAAATATGTATTACAAAATTATCTTGAATGCATCTATATTCTTTTATTGATACTATTCTGTTTATAGGTTTGGATGTAATAAAATTACAACATGTCAATTAAAAAAAGACATATGTCTTAATATATATTTATATAAATAATTTAAAAATTCGAAAACAAATGAATATTTGACCTTATTCCAAGCATTATGCTACACGAAATCCCCTTATACAATAAAACAATCAATATTTCATACTTGATTTTACTAATTCTCATGACTCTTTATATCGTGAGTTAAAAGTTACAAATGGTCAACAAGCAAACATTACAATGTTTAGCTAAGAGTTTAATTGTTAACATCAAAAATTACAATAGCCATCATTAAAGTTTATCATTACCAATGGTTATAATGATTTATCGTAGTTATGAAGTCAGCATCAAAAAAACCAACACCAATAATTGCAGTAGTTTACAAATATAACATTATGAAAAAATTAAAATTTACAATGATTTACTAATATAAATTTACTATTTATAGTTTCTCAAAAATCTATACGAATGGCTACAACTTTCATATTAAAGATAATTATTATTAGATAGTACATATCTACACATATTTTTTACAACATTTTTTAATAGGTGCATGTTTTAAAGACACATAATTATACACTCTCATCATTTAATAATTTGATTTTTTTTTAAAGTATCTCATATTTATACTAATGAAAAGACTCATGATTTTCTTATATTTTGAACATATTTTCTACATATGCCATAACTTGAATTTTGGCTTAACAACTTTAATTATCTTGACAATTTTAAAAATATTTATTGAAAAGTTCAGAGAAAAGAACAAGTATTAATAAAAAGATTCAACCTTTCAAATATTTTAACATTATTATACTTTAATTAAAAATATGTGAACTAAGCTTTATCTACCATGTTTTATCACAATTCATAAAAGAAATGAGTTTTGAAACGGTTAATGTGTGTGTTTTTTTTTGGGAATTATGCTAAAACGGAATAGAAAAACTCTTCGTGTCCTCTTAGTATAAACCAACATTAATCTTGTCCCTATAGTATACTTCTTTCTATAATTCCAAAACTAACCCTAAATTAATCTAATTAAACATAATTTATATTAATGGAAATAATGGAATTAAATAAAAATTAAAAAAAAATAATAATCACAATTCATAATTCTTTCTATTGTCTCTTCCAAAAAAAAAAATAATAATAAAAAATCCTCCAACACCATTCTCTTTAAATCATCTAAGGTAGAACTTGCATCCTATAAATGTAACCTACCCTTTTTCTCATCAACAGAAAACACCCATCCAATTGTTCCACTTAATTCCCATACACCACAAGTCGTGTAAATATGCATTTTACAAGAAAAGTTGTGAAAATCATAAAAAAGAACAATGGAGACATCAGGGTTGGATGAAGAAGAACTTTAGTTGTTATTTTTTTAGGTTTTTTTTGGCAAGTGAAATATATTTCCCTACGTTTAAGGTAACAAAATATTTTTAGAATATTTTCCTACTTAAATTCCAAGATTTTCGGAATTTTTGTTAATCTTATCCGTAGAAGGTGTCTTAGGCAAAGCGTAGAAAGGATAACATATTCTGACAAGCAGATTCTACTATAAGTAGAGTCCTAAGTTTTGGGTAGATTACGTATTCTGAAAGTTTTAGAATGAGTTCAAAATGTAGAATCTGTATTCAGTTATTTTGTAGATTACGTATTCCACACAATTTATACAGTCCACATACATCATCAACAAGTTGCAGTAACAATCGTTGTTTTGAATCCAGACGGTGTTCTTCTCTTTCAGATGTTTGCCCAAATCAGGTTTCCGTCTCTACTACCACTACCTACAGCGGGACATTAATACGAGATGTGTTCCATCTCATCACAGAAGATGAGGATTTGAAACGATGCTAACGTCACGCTTGTGTAAGTGATGACTCTTTTCCTCTGTTAACCAGCAAGCAAAGCAACCTTTTTGTTTTAAAACGGTAAGAATGAATATGAAATGTTATCTAGACATGCACAAAAGTCTATGTCTTTTACGTCCCTTAAAACTCATCTACAGCTCCATCAGCGGTCCTGCTGTTTGACCAATGACTTGTGGCAATCAAGGATATGTCAAAAGAACTGACTCCTTGTTTGTGATGATGCTGTGGTCAGAGAGACAGCTTTTTCCTGAACCTTCAGTCCGTGAATGGCGTTTTCGCGCTTGGGGTGAAAGTTATTCTGTTCCGAGCCTTATAGCAAAAGCGAAAATCACCGCAAACTCTTTTTCAATATATTTAGGATGTGTCATTGGCAATGTGGACGAATCATTTTCGGAGACAAAATCTACACGGACCAGCATGAACCTCCATTCGAATCTCTTGAACCAAGGTACAACGTCAACTTCATATTACCATCTACACGGACTATGTTACCATCTTCAATTCATTACTTCCCTTTGTGATTCCTTCTTGATCCAAAATGAACATTAGTATAACGGCTTATTGTGTGTAGGTGATGGGATTATTAAAGGCAGCACTAAAGTGATCTGTTTTTCTTCGCATTTTAGCACAGTTCGACACTGGCTCACCATTTACATATTTAAGGGAGCCAATCAAACAATGAACATGAAGCATTATCAGAGCCCAGAGGCCATCTATACAAAGTATGCTTACCTAATTGCAGAAAGTAAGCGACAACACCTTGATCTGAGATGGAACTTATCGGTATTGAGTGACTGATTGAGTTCTTAATTGTGGATCCTACATACACAATCAAGTAATATATAAGAAGCGTTACCAGAGAAAATTAAGAAACAGAAGAAGGTATTACCATCAGAAATTCACCTTCTAGCTATTATGATAGCAAATGAATGCCTTGTAAACTATAAATCAACAGGGAAAATAATTTGAATAATGGTACAAAATAGATAGGAAAACTCAAGAGAGACAGTAAACTCAGCGGATACATGGGGACAATAAACTCACCAGAAACCCATCCTATACAGTATTTATAGAGAAATAGATCGGAAGATACAGAAAAACAACATGGCCAGAATGCGAGAGAGAATAATATGAAAAGGAGAGAGTAGAGAAAAAAAATCTTCAGCAAAGGTCTGCAAAATTCTCTGTCGGGTGCACTGTCCTCCTATTAAACAAGAACTCGTTTCTTGACTTCTAAATGTACCATAAGACCCAAAACAACAAAAGCCGAATCTTCTTAGGAGTATCAGCTAACTCCATTAAGTCAAAGAGAGCTTGTACATTCTCCTCAAGATTTGAGAATTGAAGATTATGAACTGGGAGATTGGAGCATCGCCACACCACAAACGCATGAGGGCATAAGAACAGAACGTGATTGATAGTCTCTTCCTCTAAACAACATCTTTGGCATGTGGGATCAACATTAATACCGCGAGAACATATTTGAGCATACGTTGATAATGCACCTGAGATCACCCTCCATAAGAAGTTTTGTGACTTAGAAAGAATCGGTAGGTTCCAAATCTTTTTTTTAATAATCAAAGAACCCTGGGGAGGTACAACCTCTTCACCATCATTGAAACAATGCATAGATGCCCAATACCATGACCTGACGATATATTGCATATTCGATGTAAAAGGCCACAGGAAGGTATCGTGATGATTAAACCGAGAGAGTCTGATACTCCTAATAGCATTGGCATCTTATGGAAAGAACAACTGATTAAGCTTATCCTCATCCCATTCAGATGTAGCACCATCTATAAGTGCAGCTACCTTCATGTTTGGTAAAAGACACAGTGATATAAGTTTTTTGGGAGACAGTATCTACAACCATTGATTCTCCCATACTCTAGTATTGTGTCTCTCTCCAATATGAGATATCAACCCTTTATAAAATAGTTTGCTATTATATATGTTTTCAACAAGGATTTTTAACATAAAAATCCCTCAATTAAATTTGTTTTGGGTAAAAACTCTTAAACTAAGTATTTAATGAAAAAATCTCAAACTAACTTTATCTTGAAGCAACATATTAATAGAGATTTGATATTAATTGAGATTGTTATTATTAATAGATATTGAGATTGTTATTATTAATAGATATGGCCAAAAGTCAATGGAGACATAAATCGATTAGTAACATTTGTCAAACTGTCTCAATCTGATCGATCAGTAACAATTACAAGATACAACAACATGTCCAATAATTAAATGGGCGGTTCACAAGACCCAAAAACAAACATTTTGAAATCTCAGTGGAGCATCAGCACCAAAACAAACGAAAGAGTAGAAATTAGTTTTGTATCTCGAGGCCCTGCGATGGTTGCTGCAAAACAATGGCCTCCTCCTTGGCCTTCAAAAGACTATCGAGAAAGAGTAAAAGTTCATCGTGGGCGCGATCAGACTCCTCCATGTTCATAAACAATCTATTCTGCGGTTTGTACCACATCATCTTTGGCAACAGACTTGAATCCCTGGAAGATCTCCGAGCCAGATGAGGAGGTTTTCGCCGCAGGCTGCCTTCAATCCTGAGAGACATTGAGTTTGACAGCATCAACAACAAAAATTAATTGAAATGAAAGGATTTAGGGTTAAGTTATTTACTCGAGGTCGGTGTCTGTGACTTCCTTGAGGAAACGAATAGATTGCTCTTGAGCCATAATCATCGCCTCCTCTTCTGACTCACTCAAATACGCAGTTGATGCCATCTGCTTTACACCCTTATTCGCCGCTGCCTGCTTCAAAATCATCATCTCCTGGTTGTCCCAAGTCGAATTCATCTCCGCTGAAGCCCTGGAATCCCTCCTCTTTGAGTGAGGCGGCCTTCGCCGCTGGCGTATAGGCTGCAGTTGGGGGATCGCCATCTTCTCCTCGTCTGAATCACTCATCTCGGTTCGATTTGAGAGATCGATCTGTGCGATGAGAGAAAACGGCAGGAAAAGTAGATATTTGAAGAAACCCTAAAAACGTATTCTGTTCTACAGAATGGGCCCGTTTCTTTTAAAAAACTACCTTATCGGCCCAAATAACATGCCCGTTTTTTTTTAATAGATTTTGATCCACTTTAAAAGCGTGCGATTATTTTTGTTGATAAATTTACTAACCCGTTTAATTTTTCATAATATGTTTATCTTTGATGTTTTGTTTTTGATTTGGTTTCTGTTTGTTTTTATAGTTTTTTTTATTTAGTTATGATTCATTTATAGTTTTCAATTTCTTGGTTCAAAAGATTTATAAGACCATTCAGTTATTTATCAATTCATTTGATTTTGGTTTGGTTATTTTGGCATTCAGTTTGGTTAATATAACAATATTAGGAATCCAATAAAATTCTGAGTTCAAAACAGTTTTTGTTCGATTCTCCTTTCTGAATAAATGTGAATAATTAGAGTCAAAATGACATTTTGGATTTTTTATATAAATTACAAGACAATTCAGATAAATTTAAATATTTCAGGTAAAATATTCGAGTGGTTTGTCTTTATCTAGAAATTGGAAAAAATTTAAATATTTCAAATAAAAGTAATAGCATAATCCAGCTTTTTGACTAAATTAGTTTACAAGTGTTTTTTTTTAAATGTTTTATAATTTAAAACTCAAAATAATTAATATTTTAGGCATATAAACTTTATAGATATTTAGGTTACCCATTCGGTTTTTTCATTTTTCGGTTTTGTTTTGATTTTGGTTTGATTTTTTTTTTGTTCCAAAGATATAGGAACCAATCTGATATTTGTAAATATTTTGGTTCTTTTTGTTTTGGTTTGGTTTCATTTTGTGTTTTGTTTCAGTTCGGTTTTTGGATATCGAATATATGTTGAGGCCTAAATCTGTATCTACAATATGTTTTATATTTGATTAATATTTGATTTAAACTTATTTTAATGATAGATTTTAGGGTAAACGTGCTACTTCCTCACGAGAACTATCATATAGCATCAGATATTCACCGAACTATTATCTCGTGCCATATCTCCGTGAATCAAAAGTTACATGCTTATTTCTCCCTAAATCGATAGTTCAAAACTTAATTATCCATATACTATGGTTTTATTGGTTTATTGTTAACCATATAATTTAAACTAAATAAACAAGTCAATAATTCATTTTTTTATCAAAAAAAGGAAATGCTAATACACTATTCAAACACCACACTATTATTATTATCAAAGAAATTTTGAAAACATTCATATCTTGAGAAAATTTGAAAACTTATTTTTTGATAAAATTGATTTTTATTTATTTTAAAGTTAGTTGGTTAATAATAAACCGGTTAAACCAATTTTTATGTATAATTAAGTTCTAAACTATTAGTTTGAGGAGAAATAGATTTTGAACTATCGATTCTGGGGAAATAAGTGTATAACTTATAATTCGGGGAGATGCAGCACGAGGTGATAGTTCAATGGATATCTGATGCTATATGATAGTTTTCGTGGGAAAATAGCATGTTTACCCTAGATTTTATAAATAGATATTACGACTATGTATACTTTCAAAATCTAGATTTTCTCACATTTCTTTTCCAACTAAAATGAATATGTTTAAAATAATTTTTTTATTTTTTTTGGTTAGTTAGGTTAAATTTTTCTGTATGAAAAGATTTAGAAACTTAGATTTATTGAATTTATTTTTATAAAACAACTATTTGGCTCACAAATATTAAGAGTTGAATGCTGCACTGATAAGAAATCTTAACATATCCCCTTATTATTAGTTGAGGAGCATTCAAAATAAATAACCTTCACTTCATGTATGATTTACATGAGTGTCATTTCATACGTCGCATCCTCACAAGCACTCTTACACCCTTTTTTAGAAAACCCTTAGTTTACTAGAATTATTACAACATGTGCCATTGGTCGTTACCATATAAATGTGTACGATTTATGTTTGTGCATTATTAGTTTCTATGTTCTATTACACGAATTATGGAAAATGTAAAGGTTTTCATAAAAGACCACAATTTTCATTCATCTATCGAACATAATAATAATAATAAGTTTTATAAAATTAATATGCTACTGCTTACGAAGTAGACGATATATTTGATAGTAACATAGGATTATATATCTTTTCCTGAAAAACTAATAAATGGTTGTTGGAATTTATAACATTTGAAGATTAGAATTATAGTCGAAAATATAATATCCAGTTATTTCTTTGGGGGAATTTTCCGACTAAAGTTGATACCATCGAATTAATTTGAAATATGAATTAAGGAACGTCTAAGGTCAAACCTAAAATTATTAAACTGTTGGTCGATATATTTCATATATTAGACACGGTTCCATATAACTAAATATTGCTTGCTGGATATTATAGCCTCTTGAAATTTGAATAATGGTGAAACGCGGGCTTAAATTATTATTTTTTGTGTTGTGATAGAGAATTTATACCATTACAGTAAGATCTCGTTCTAATTCAGGCAACGCGTGATTTGAAACGAATAATGATTATAAACCTACATACCTTTTTCTTTTAGAATTAATTTTGGATTTATTGAGTATAAGGTATGTGAATATTTTGCCTTGGACTTAAATCAAATATATACATAACACATGTAGACTATATTAATTTGTGTAACAAACACAATAATTTGGGCATTGATTCGCTTGATGAATTACAACGTGATCTTCATACATTGATTATGTATCAATTATAGTTTTTTTATGGTATTAGGGCATTGATTGTAGACGTCGAATCATACAAACAAAAGGAAACTTAATATTATTATTGTGAATCATATTGCCAAATATACATGTTATTGCCACTGATTGCTTTCATAGATTAGTTGAGAATCCATTTATTCAGTTTGTTTCCTAAAATATATAAAACCAAATTGTGTAACTGGCGCAACCTTGCAACAAATATATTCTGATCAAGATTTCGATGAATAATCATTTCAATAGGGCTATTAATTGCGTCGAACTTGGCTAGATCTAGGCACCTTGCATATATAAGTACAACAACCTCATAGCCACTTCTCCTCACAGTTATCTACTTCTCAATACTACCTTACCTAGCGAGATCCAAACAATCACAGCATTCATGGCACTGTTTAACTCTGTTGCCGACTTGAAGCCCTTTAAGCCCGTCAGGAGAGTGAGGGTGAGTATTGTTTGATTGTGGAAGCAATACTCTGTACCAGGTGGCCTCACCATTGAAATAGTTCTTATTGATTCTAATGTAAGTTTTTGGTTAAAAAAATATTTTGATTTTGAAATGTTTTATTACTATTGTGTATGTTCCGTTCTATTTTTAATTCATAATTGGGTTTATACTATGTTTTTCCTTACTCTTATTACCCCTCTTACATAACTTATAGGGAAAATAATCTAAAATATAAAAAGTTAAAAAGTATTATTTTATTAGTGAAATGCACAATTTTGACTAAAAATTATTTTTCATTATTAACCTTTTTTGTACTGTACTTTTATAACATCTATTATTTCAAATAAATAATCTCTTTAATCTACTCACTTCGCTCATAGCGCATATTGTCATCTAGTTATGTGTGTAAGAGTTAAGTTTTGGATCCAAAAAAATATAATTATAAAGACAAAAGATGGTTCAGTTCACTAAAAAGGAAGCAATTTTAATAAATTAAATGGAGAAAATCGTGACTGGACTAACGTGTTTCTGATGGGGCTTTCGTTATACACAGGAGATAAATTGCTTGGATGGGCCTTCAATGTGATCGACAGTTCATATTTTAAAACGACTTGTTTATGATTGGCGAATACATAATTGGAATATTTAAACATAAAATCTGAAAATGCAGTGGTATTGTATTGTAAATAATTCAAAAAGTTAGGACAGAATTATAGTAGAGCTTCTGTTTTGTTTTTTTTTTTTTTTTTTTTTTTTTTTTTTTTTTTTTTTTTTTTTTTTTTTTTTTTTTTTTTTTTTTTTTTTTTTTTTTTGTTCTTTTGACAACGAACGGCTGATCTATTACTCAAGCTTGAGGTGGTCTGGGAATCCAGACCGGAATAGAACAACCAACATACATGAGATCCCGATAAAATGATCAGGCAGTCTTAGCTAAATGATCGGACACAACATTTAGAGATCGAGGTACATAAGAAATCTTAAAGTCTGGGAAACAAATCCTCAGCGTCGAGATCCTCTCCAGTTCCGTCGAAAAGCTTGACCATCCCTGGGGATCCTTGAGCATTGCTAGTAATTCCTTGCAATCCGTCCCAAAGCTCTGACATGGCGAATGTTGAAGCATGTTCTCCATTGCCCACCGCAGCGCTTCCAACTCAGAATGCAAAGCCGACTCCACTCTACTCACATTACGCATCCCCATCAGTTGACTACTTCCCATGTTATCCTTCCAGTCCCAACCACAACCAGAAAATTGATCTATAGAGGTCCAAGAACCATCTATCATGCAAATATCTCGTAGTCTTATGGCGTGACTTACAATATTGCCGTCCTCTTGTGGGGTCACAATTTTCTGCTCATTAGCTTCGAACCAGGCAAGACACTCACTCTCTGCATATCGGGCCAACTCCAAAGGGTCTCTATCTATACCTCTAAACAACTTGTCATTCCAAGCCTTCCAAATGTACCATATCAACCAGGGATACGGGTCATTTTCTAATTCTGACCCACAAATGATCTTCTTCCGCCAGAACAGGTAATCCATATTCGCATATGTGCTCTCCAAGGGAAATAAAGTTGGGCTGGTAGGTATAGATGCTAAAGCCCATACCTGTAAAGCCGGTGGGCATTGGAAAATTGCATGTGCAATTGTTGCGTCCGATTCTCCGCATCGAGGGCAGAAATTATCGCATCTCATATGTCTATGATTCAGCGCACTCGTAACAGCCACCTGCCCCGATATAATCTGCCACATAAGATGACACATCTTCGGGGGTGCTTTAACCTTCCAAACTTGTGCTTGTAGCC